CAATAGAAATATATGAAAAAGGAATTCCAGATTATGAATTTCAAAATTTTTTTCACATATTTTTTTTACATTTGAAAAAAATCACATGGTACGTGCATATTTTGTTTTGGAGAATGTAGGAGAATCAATTTACAAGGAATTTACATATTAAACTGAAACACCCTATTAACTTTTATAAAATATAATTAAAATATTTTTGCAGAGTAAAAAATTTAATTCAATCAATAAAACTGATATGTTAAAACAAAAAGAAAAAAATTAGCAAAAAAGAAGTAACAAAAATATAACATTACCATAATGTGTTATATCAAAACAAAATTAACAAAAAAAAAAGCAACTTGTTTATTAGTCCTCTCTCATTGCAGCTCACTCATGAACAAGAAATATACACAGTGACTGAAATGAACACCAAAGAGCAAACGGTGTATAAAATATATAACAATTACAGGCTAATTAAATTTAAGCCTAACAACCACTCCTTCTGTTTACATAATGATAGAACGTAATATATACTGATTCTAACACCTTTCAAGAAATTCAGAATCAACCTTCTTCAGTACTGAAAACATGCCTCAGTTGAATGACCAGGCACATTGCTGGTTTTTTGACAAATATTCAGCTATCATCCAACCAATTGCATTCACACCCCTCCTCATATTGTTCGACTTGCCTATGAAAAATATTGGTTGGTACACACTCATTGATCCTTGCTTCTAACCTTTGACCTATTCTACTTACATAGTTACTGTTCCACTGACATTGGAATTATTGAACTAATATGATGGAGAGGTAGAAAATGCTTTCAGATTGGTCTCAAATTTGGTTAGGCATCAAAGATAATCGGGGGATAGAAAGACAAAAGTTTTTCATACATGGAAATCTGCCTAGAAAATCTTGTATTTCTTTTCTGAATATTCATGATCTTAAACTACAGTAAAATAGTATTTAAACTATAGTAAAATGAAAAAAAAAAATCAATTTGAAAAAAAAAGAATTTGAAAAAAAATGCTTATATCTGGTTGCAATGCTTACTGGACTGCACCACTAATATATTATAAAAAAGTTTTACTAGTTTCAAAGGGCTTTATCTTTTAAACTAATAATATATTAGGGTTTGTTTGTTTTTTTTTCATGGAAGAGCTTGGTCAGATGAAGATCTTTTCAGAAATCCATATATGCAACCAATCAGGTTAAGAAAATATATTGCTTTTGTAAGAAACCAGAATTGCATTTTACATAAACTCTTATTGCTTAAGTAAACAAAAACTCTTCAAATCTGTGAAATTTTATTCAATCAGCATTTTAGTGACATAATCTTTTTAGGGTACATTTTTATTACAGAATAATTTTGATTACATTTATCTGTTTTCTCACATAACCTGAGAAACATGTTGAGATTGAAATATATGTGTTTACTACAGCAATTACAATGCAAGTCTATTAAGAAATAATTCAATATGAAACAGTTTTATAGACTCTTTCCAACAGCAAATATTTCAATTAGTCTTTAGTTTTTGTGCCAACATCTTTTTTGATTTTGAGAAATGTAACTTTTAATAATAAAATTGTCCCCAGTGTAAAAGAAAATTATGTTATGCAGTCCTTTTGATGAAACCAAAAAGACACCTCAAGGATATGGCAGTTTTAGAAAGTCAATAATTAAAAACTTCAAAAGCAGAAAAATGATTGCATTTTGCTTTGTCAAATAAAATTACATTGAGTGAAAGATGTAAATTTAACAGATATGCATAAACATATATGGTTGAGTAGAACAACTGTTATCAACACAGTTGAATCAACAAGCTAAATTCAAATTTCAACTGTGTCTGTTGCATTCCTTTTCACACTAATACTCTTGAGGAAGCTCTTAATCTATCTCTCTTTCCCTCAGTTGAGTAGTGTAGACTGAGATTTCTAACCTTGCATTGCAGCCAGTCTAAGATTACTTTGTATTCAAAAACATGCAGAAGTTAACAGGAAACTAATCTGTTTTCCAGGAAGTCATGTCAAGTCTGAGAAAATAAAAGAAATGCAATCAGTGGAAAGCTATGATCATTGTCCTGAAGAAACATGCATTAAAAAAAAGTGTAAATATGTGATTATCTGATATAAATTTATATATGCATAAAGAAATAATAAATTCCCCTACCAAGCTCTCTAGCTATTCTATAATATAAAAAAAAATGTTACTTTTTCTGCCTGAGTTTCTGGGATCAGGAGTTACACTATTTACATGCAGACTATTGTCCTCATCTTTGCTGTTGTCACATCATTTCAGCCATCAGGAAATTTCAAATTGAATGCTTTATTTAATCTACAGGTTCAAACTATTCTTGTTATACTAGCCATGTCTAGAGATATTTATCTCTTATTTTTTAGTACTGTCCAATTATTGCTTGCCAAGTACACACTGCTCAGCCCAGGGATTGAACTCACAATTACTATGTCACCAAATTCATAAACCAATGCATTAACCAACAAGGCTATTGTCTCAGGACAATATCCTAGTGGATTAAAGCCTAGTGATTGACATACACCTGATAAAGGCCAACGGGTACAATGGTTGAAACATTGTGAAAACAACAATAATGAGGATAATAGTCCAATGTTACTTTATATATTTTTATCAATTTATGTATCTTTCATTTGGTCAGTTAAGTACCATACATGATTGGATTATCATGTCTCTTGATTCATCATAGACTAGACAGAAGATTTTCCTACAGTAGGTTGCTCTTTCTTTCTGCAGTAGACTGGTTGCCAACCAAGGCTATAGGACCCAGTCTGTCCTGCTATTCAACACATTAGCTGGGAAGGGAAGAGATGGATTTCTACATTTTTCAAGGGTATTTGCGTGTATATGGATATAGTGGGCCTGATTGGAATTTGAACTCGGCTCTTTGATTTCTCATTCCGAGCCGTTATCCATCACACTACAATGCACATCCTTACCTCCTCTATTTGAGATAATGAGGTTTTTCGGTTTTAGTAACAGAAGGCATTACTTGATTCCAGTAAGCAAATATGTTCCTGTTAAAAACATGACAATGGAACGTCTCATTAGAGATCAGGCTATTAAAGTCACCTATTTTTTTTGTTTGTAATCTTTGAATATTTTTAATGATTTGAAAAGCAAAATTCTTTCTTACATGTTACAATAGAGCTAATTGCAGACATAAATTCCATAGCAGATCATGCAGAAAATGTAACTGCAAAATTATTGGGTTAGAACAAATGTGTGTTTCATTTGATAAGTAAATTTCAAAGAATATTTACATATCTGTACATAGATTTATTCAACTGCATCTGTACCATTTTGTTCCATTACCTTTCTCATCTTTGAGACCTCTTCATGATTCCATCCTCCTAAAACTTTGTATCTTTCTGGATGATGGATAAAGTGGTTTTACAGGTTATGGAAAATTGTTCCTTCCATTAAGAGAAATTTGTAAGGATCGGCATAAGCAGTAAGATATGTAGTAAGACATACCAACCAAAATGTACCAATTTATGCCAGGTTTACAAAGAGACATGAGGCATTTTTCTGATTGAAGATGATGCCCTTCTGATTGACCAATTCTAGAGGTTTTGCATTGAATGCTGCCTTTGATCAGTACAATCATCTGATTTTGTGGAAGGAGCTCACAATACACAATACCCTTCCAATCCCACCAGATACACAGTATCACCTTCTTTGGATGCTTTTAAAGTGATTGATAGCAGATCATTTCCTTTTCACCAAGAACTTTTATATCCACATTGATGCAAACAATCCATTTCTCATCACCTTGATTGTTCATTTGAAAAATGGATTGCTTTTGTTGTGTCTGAGCAGAGAATAGCAGATGGAAATGTGAACCATTTGATTCCTTTTGTTAAATCATGAGGAACCCAAACATTCAAGTGTTTTCAAAGAGCTTTCAATGCTCCATAATGGGATGTTGAGTATCTCTGCAATGTCGCATGTCAAGTAAGATAGATTATTTTTAATAAGCATTTTGATTTGGCCATCATTAAAGATTATTAGTCAGCAATAATATTCTCAGTCTTGCAGATTAATAATTTCACATCTGAACCTAGCAAACCGCTTATGAACAGTACTCTTAACTATTGCACCATCTCCATAAATGGCATATATCATTTTTGCTGTTTGTAAAGTGTTTCTTCTTTCCAGAAATAAGAACATCAAATGATTATTATCAATTGCATTTTCATCCATTATCACTACAATATAAAAACATTTAAAATTAATAATCCATACATGTATCATAAAGAAAGACATATTGAAACATTACCTTTCATAATATGTATATATGCCATAAATTTCAGTCACATGCAAAACGAAATCACATGTTGAAATACCACCAATTGAAAAAGCACTGCAAACACAAAGATGGTTGTCATTTTTTACAATATATATATATATATATGTGTGTGTGTGTATACATACACACACACATATATATATATATACATATATATACACACATACATGCACAATTAGTTTTGAAGGAATTTTTACCATATTATAAGAAACTATATACAGTAATGAAAATGAAAAGGCTAGAGATTACATTGATAAGCTTAATTCAAAGCCACAAATATTGTATTTTGTCTGCGTCTGCAACTAAGCATATTAAAGTAATAATAAAAGAGAGAGTGAAGGGGGGAAAGGGTTGTGAGTCAGGTTTAGATTAAGAATGGGGAACATATAAATTAAGAGAAAAAATCAGCAGATAAAACTACAAATATGTAAGAAGGAAATAGTCAAACGGAAGCATTTTGGGATAATTCTGGGGAATTGTTCACTTGTTAGATTGAATGTTACATCTGCCAACCAAAATGTTACAAAGGTAAAAAAAAAAAACTGCAAAAGAAAAGTTGAAAATTCAATCAGTTCTATCTACAGGAATAGTTTTGAGTGATTGAATACTGGTGGGAGACATCATTTAGAGTGCCGAGGTTCTATCCAAATATGGAGCGAGGAAAAGGAAAAGAAATCAAGATACAATATGAGGAGGAAGAAAAAAAATTGGAAGGAAGAGATCAGGAATAAAAGATGGGAAAAACTGAATCATGATTATAAAAGAAAAAGAAGAATTTAGTGAGAGAAAAAGAAAAAAAGTTGAGTTTTGGAGAAGAATAGAGAGAATAAATAATAAAAGGAGGAAGTTGCAGAGAAAGAGGAAAGAATAAGGAATATCAGCAAGAAAAAGAGAAAGTAAAAAACTGATTGGTTTGGAAGAATGGGAAAGAGATTGCCATGAGTCAAAATTAATGAAAAGAAGAAGAGACTTAAAAAGAGGCAAGAAGAGAGATATGGTGAAAGAGAAAACAGAAATGAACAGAGAATAGAGAGGAAAAAATTGAAAAATGGTTGTGTTGGGAAAATAAAGAGAATAGGATTTGGAAATAGACATTTGAAATGAAAAAGAATGACAATGATAAAAAGCAAAATAGTACAAAAGAATAACAGATGAACATGGAAATGCAAATAATATTAGAGATAGATAATGAAGTGATAAGAGTTCTAGGAATTGATAGGAAGTGCAAGAAAGTGACAAGTAGTGCTAAGAAATAACAGAAGATACAAAAGGGGCAGCAATATATGTGACAAGAGATGGAAGAATGTGAAAAAAGATAAAAGGAATTGTCAAGAAGTGCTAAGAAGTGACAAGAAATTCAAGAAGTGCAGTCAAAAAAAGAAAGCTTTATGAGAGGGTGCTAAAAACTTCTAAGCCTGACTTACTTTTCAAAATCTAGCCAAATAACCAAATATTATTTATTCATCTTTTTTTTAATGCCTTCTTGGTCTGACAGAAGATTTTTTAGCACCCTCAAGTAGAAGAAACTAGAAAGTGGCAGGATATGTTAGAAAGTGACAAGGGATGGATAAAAATAATAGAAATGATGCCAGGAGGTAGCAAGAGAAACAAGAAATTGAGAAGAAATACAAGATGGTTTCATAATTATCAGCATGGAAAATGAAACCTAAAACTTATGGCCATATCATGTTGAAACACCAGTTCTTGTATGATCACCAAAGTTAAGCAATGTCGAGCTTGATCTGTATCAAAAAGTGTGACCACTTGCGAATACCTAAGCTATAAAGCTTGGATGTGCAGGTGATGTAATGGATAACTCATAACTGGAAATTGAAATGTCAAGTTCCAATTCCAGTCAGGATCATCATATTCACTTAGATTTCCCTTTGGAAATGTATGAATCCATCTCTTCTCCTCCTCCTAGTTATGGGTTAATTAGTAAGACTTATATCAGTAAATCATTATCTCCTAACACATACTTACAATCTAAAAATATTTTCTGGTTTTAATTAACCTGCAAAAGGTTGAAGAGTCATAAAAAAAAAAAAACAAATCAATCACTCAAATCTGCAAACCAAGTTTGTATTTTGACTGAAGCTTCTTGAATTCACTTTAATATCCTGGGCAGAGCATGAGTCCACTTCTTTCTTTTGTTTCTCCTGCTGCCAGATGACTTAACAAAAATGACTTGTAATCAGAATGGTTGACAAAAGTGATGAATCAGTATTTGAGTAATCCAATCTCTCTAAATTGATGTACCTACCCAGCTGCCAAACGCATTGTCACCCTAGACAAAGATGAATCAGAAAAGAATTGAAAAAGTTATAAGTAGGAAAAGTAAAATATTAAGAATGAAAATTCAACTTTACACAGATTCTATTAAAATACAATGTTTTTTTTCTATTTTATCATTCATCAAATAAGAATAAGTATGCGTTTTTTTTCTAAAGAAATGTTTGATATGTTTTTATTGCTGTTAATATTTATTTTTGTCATCAGCACGAGAACATTTTAAGAAAATTTAATTACATTATCTTTTAGTTTTATATAAAGAAAGGGCAATGTACGTGGCTCCATCTGTCTGTCCGTTTTTCAATCTTGATGAACCAGAAGTTATACACGATTTGAAATTAAATAACTCATTTAAATTTAAATATCAAACAGAGAGAAAGGTTTAAAAAATACAATTCTTTATTAAAGGTTGTAGTGAACTACTCCAGAGAGCAAAGAAGCTCAGGGTTGAATGTATTTTTTGCAATGCTAAAATAAAATAACTTACCTCCAGCACAAAGATTCGAACGTACCTCGCAGTGTAAACTGCCAAAAGGAAAAAGAAATGGCAGCTTCACAGGCCCCATATTTAAAATTAAAATATATCTCGGAGTAAGATACTCTCTCACGAGATTATCATTGTGCACATACAAATTTTGGTGATACATAAAAACGGGAAGAATGAGGCAACAAAAGAGAGAGAGAAGGGGAAGATTGAGAGAGAGAGAGAGAGAAGGGGAAGATTGAGAGAGAGAGAAGGGAAGATTGAGAGAGAGAGAAGGGGAAGATTGAGAGAGAGAGAAGGGGAAGATTGAGAGAGAGAGAGAGAGAAGGGGAAGATTGAGAGAGAGAAGGGGAAGATTGAGAGAGAGAGAAGAAGGGGAAGATTGAGAGAGAGAGAAGGGAAGATTGAGAGAGAGAGAGAGGGAAGATTGAGAGAGAGAGAGAGAAGGGGAAGATTGAGAGAGAGAGAGAAGGGGAAGATTGAGAGAGAGAGAGAGGGGAAGATTGAGAGAGAGAGAGAGAGAGAAGGGGAAGATTGAGAGAGAGAGAGAGAGAGAGAGAGAGAGAAGGGGAAGATTGAGAGAGAGCGAGAGAAGGAAAGATTGAGAGAGAGCGAGAGAAGGAAAGATTGAGAGAGGGAGGAAGAGTGAGTGAGTGAGTGAGTGAGAAGAAGAGTGAGTGAGAGAGAGAGTGAGAGAGAGAAAAAGAAGAAGAAAATAAAGAACAGTTGATGGCTGTGTTGAACTTGCTAAATGTGTAACGGACAAGAGAAAAGAAACTGATTGCAGGCATTGATTGCGACAATAAGTTTAAAGTTTTTTCTTGCTACAAAGGTTTAACTTTAATCTCGCTTTTCATCGCAGTTGATATTGTCTAATTAAACCATAATTAAAACTTAACATGGTACGTTACTCCTCTGTTTTTTCTTCTTTTTCTAGCAAGCGTACTGCGACATATTCGAAATACATAGTTCAAGTTCCCTAATGTCTTTTTAAGAAAGACTTTGTTTATGTGAAGTGATCATAAGGAATGGTGATTTTTAAAAGAAAATAAAAATTCTGCACAAAATAAATTTTAACAAACTATGAAGATCAGTTGCGTATAAAGATTATACTGAATTAAGGTGTCAAATAACGATAAAATAATTTTATTATTTCTAAATTATTATAACTTTTATGTACATAGGACTGTTGCAGACTGGCGAATGTATTTTGAGTGATCAGAAGGATTTTTAGTGTTGGTGTTCTTAAAAACATTCATCCACAACAATTAAAGAAAAATATGAGAAGCAAATCATGCAAGAAGGCTGAAAGCAAAGACAAACATTAAATGTACAACAATAACATTGGTTTATATACAATTCAAGAATACAATTGAGTTGAACTTTGATGGATAAATGAGAATAGATATATTTGGCTGCGTAGAATATTATTGTGAACGATTGAAGGTGTTTGCAATTGCTATTCAGATTTATTCATAAAGTTAAACTAAGTGTCCAGTTACATACTAAATTGTCCTTTGTGCTAGTTCAGTTATTAGTGTGTGTGCGTAAGTTTGTTTGTATAATTGGTAGGAGTTGCGTACCTTTAGTTGTGTGAGAATTTGATTGTTTATTTACTAATATTTATTAAGTAGTGAGAAAAATGCCACTTTTTTAAGTATTGTAAGTGATGTTTAGATAGCATTCCTGAGAGAGATAGAGTGTGCTTGTGGATTGTTGAGTCAGAGATATTTTGCGCGGCAAAGTCCTGGTTGGTCAGAGTTTTGATTTGCGTGGGTCAGTTTGGCATCTCTCTAGGAATGAAAAGGTCTGACTTGCGTGAGTGTTGGTAATGGTCTTTAACAACTGACTGCATAATTAAGACGGGCGCTCTTGAAGGCTACATCTTGGCAGCAAGGAGAAAGATGGTGTTTATCAATCCACCCACGGGGATCGAATGCGGCACAAGGCCTTTTTAATGTGGGTATGTCTGAGCCCGTACGCCCAGCCAAAAAAAACACATCTAAACCCGTCCAAGCGAGCTAGTTCCGTCAACCTCCCCGAACGAAACCCCACCCTTTCGGCGGAGCTTCGTCCGGGTTCCCCTCTGCAAGACACCCGACCCGGCAGCTCACAAAGCGCAGATACTACACTTTGATCCTAGCCACCGGGCCGAGCGGGTATTCTTTAAAGATGAATGAAGAGAAAACGTGCGGGGCCTTACACGTGTTTTGTTTATATATGTCTGTGTATCACGTGGGAGGCTCAGATCGAAAACGCGGGAAATTTCATACCTCGCGTACAGGATATCTGATTGGTCGGAACTGACCAATCAGCGAGATAGTTTTGAGTAGCTTAACCAGTGAAGCTTGTCTATGTACTGTGTTTATGTAATGTGGTGGTAATTACCATAGAGGAAGAGTGCATTTTCCAATGGGGTGTAAATGGCAAATGTGGAATCTTCCACAGGACGCTGAAGATAAAAGGCTGAAGGAAGGAGCTAGCCTAAAGTTTGCCCAAAGGGTAGCTTCTAGGCTAGTATTTAATAAAAATAGCAAAATCAATTTACACTATTTACATTACCAACATACCAAAATCAATTTATTATTAGAGATTTTAGCAAAAACCAGGACAAAATTCCAGTGACTTCTGTACACTTTAGAAATAAAACTTTAAAATGAGAAAAAAGTACTCTTCAAATATACTTCACTTTCTTTGCAAGTATTCAATTTATCAGGTTTAAAATAAAAAGTTTTGTGCATTAAAATGATTGAAATAAAATTCTTTGTCTGCTTTTATGGTTTTTGAACAACTGTGTAAATGCAGAAATTAAGTTACAATGAAAATTAAGCTTGCTTTTAAGTTAAGTATTTTTATGTGCCCCATTTTCTTGACAATAAAAAAAAATTACCCTTAAAATGAATTTAGATGTACCTTTGTTTTAGTTACTTGACAGTTGGTTTTGTATAATCATTTCTTATTTCTTTCTTATGTTCTCCATATGATGTTCTTATGTCCTAGATTAACTAACAAACCATGAATTGAACCTCACCAATGAATACTTGGTCATACTGCTTAGTAAAATTTCCAAATAAATGAAGCTAAAATATCAAAGAAAAAGTATTTTTTCATTATTGTAACCAGCAACAATTTCTAGTACTATCTTTGGCACACTTTGAAATTGCCCCACACTTTATTGCTTGTACAATCAATCAGTATTAATACATTGTTTACCAGCCTTAAGAAATATTCAAAGGTGAGCTTAAATAAAAAACAAAACAATAAGCATTTAAATATTTCTTTTCTTTTCTTCTATCTGAATTTTTCAGATGAGGAATTATCATTATTTACACTATTTATATGTGGATGATTGTTCTCGTCTTTGTTATTTTCTGTCTTTACTTGTTTGACACATGGAAAAAATAATTTGAGTCTAAGATAGTTGCTAGTAATAAAAAAATGGATTGATTATGAGAATCCGAAATTAAAGAAATTAGTTCTCAGTTGAATCTAGTTTTTAAAGTAATGATTTACTCCTGTCTTGATAATAAGTCTGACCAGTTCGATAAGGTCAAAATGGCAGCCAATGTTTCAAAATGACCTTCAGTCTGTTGTTAACTGGGGCAAAGTCTTCTTAACTCTTGTTCCTTTATTGTTCTTCCTTCTTAATATTATCTTTTTTCTCATATTCTCTCACAATCCATATCCACTTGTGTCTTAGTGGCTTTATTGACTTGCTTGGAGTGAAATGATTAAAAAAAGAAATCTGCTCTTTATGTATATAATGCATACCTCTGACACAAATTATCTTTATGGTATAGAAACAAAATTACATAAAGTTTATGAAAGTCAAGATGATATATCTAGTCCTATAGAACCTCATCCGATATTCACAAGAATCTCAAGTGTTCTTCTTTCAAGTTTATTTATTGATTTATTTAATGTAAAAGTGTTATTTGAAATGTTTTTTGGTCGTGTACGTGAGCTTATCTGATTTAATTTTAATAAGCTGTCAAAACAGATTTAACAAAAATATTATAAAATATGAGTCACTATGAAAGTATTACTTTATATTTTATTATATCCGCCCACAACATCAGTAGCATTGTAGGTACTAGTATGTTTTATGGACGTTGGGTATCGTCAAAATTATGTGGATAGTAGTATGTTTTTTGTACACGTTGATGGTCACCAAAATAAAGTAGCATCACTCACACCAAAGCAGCAGAAATTAGCCACATGTTCACAGAGATAAAAAAAAAAACATACGTCACAGAAACATGCAGAGATAACAATAAAGGCATAGTAAATTGTACATTAATTTCATACAATTTATTTATATTTTGGGGGGGGGGTATGTATACCTTTTAGGCTACAATTGATTAAGGTACATGTCTTAAAAAGGAGAAGTCACTCCATATTATTACATGCCATATCACAGAGAGAAGTTTCACATGTGTTGCTTGTCCAAGGGTTCGTGGTGAAGATTGAATTTAGTGTCTTTTGGCAGGATGTCTGTATTTCAAGCAGTAACAGTTTTTGTTGCATGCTGGGAGTATTTTTATTATTTTTAATTTTTATTTAATTTATTTTATACAATGTTTTTATGTTATTGCTTTATTTTATTTTGTTTATAATTTTCATTATTTTATAATTTATTTTTATTTATTTGTTATAATAATGCACCTGCAGCATATGTTAATCATACATGGTGTAAGCTTGTTTCACTAGATCAATTACAACTGAATAGTTCGATTCTCACTGGATAACCCATAGTTTTGGCCTTGTGCCACATCTAAGCTATGCTTAGAAAATCACCATATGGCAGTAAATTGAACCTTCCCACCAATAACCCATAATTGTTTATATTATCGATAGTTGTCAGGCATGAATGCACATACAAAGCAAAAATATTCCTTCATTGATATTTGCAGAGACCAAACAGTGGATGTAAGCACAGCTGGGGATATTGATGTGTGACAAGCCATGTTCAAGGTGGTCATGCATAGCCGATGATGGTGACTATGTGAAAAATAGTGTTTTGTCATTGAAAGCTTGCTCTATTCAACAGTGCCGTTTGTATCTGTTGTACTTTCCATTAAAATAAACAGGATGCATTACTTTCAGAGCATCTCCTATAGGTTTAATAATATCACAAGATTTTCATTTTAATTGAGAACAAAAGGAAGTAAAAATTTTAAAATTATGAATTTAAATCTTTTTTGATTTTACACTTTTTATTACAATACTCAGGTTATTTTATGTTTTACATCTTAAGCTATGCAAATCATAAGCTTCAATGATATTTGAAATTTATCCCTTCTCTTTATAAACATAGACAAGTATCAAATTTATTAAGCTACAAAAGCTAATCAGCATACATTATTCAAATTTAATCATACAGTTGCATTTATAATTATGCAATTTTTATTCTATACCATTCAATTTGTTTACCACCACTAGTATTAGTATAATAGTCTTCATTTTGTAATGAATTAAAGCTATTAAGCCCATGCCAGGCTGACTACAAAATTATAGCAAAATAATTTTGTTGTTACTAATATTATTATTTTGTGTTTTTTCTAGTGGTTTTCATATTCTCTCATGGTTTCCTGAAAACAATTAGCATTATCTTAAATAGTATCATGTGAACAGCAATTTCAATCCATTTGTAGCTTTAAAAGGCACCACAGTTGGAAGATTGATCAGATCAGTCTCTGGTTCCCTAGCAGGCTGATCAGATAATGAACCCTGGACTAACTTGATTTTTTTTAATTTGTTACAGGCAAATAGTTATTTTTTTTTAAATTAT